ACTTGTGGGATGTCAAGGGGTCTAGAGATACTATTACAATTAACCGAATTCCCAGGTTCGTTCACTGTTCTCAGAAGTGGGTGCATATCCGTTAAACCACTACTTCCTTTATTTGTCGCCTTACAATTCCACTTTGTATGCCCAATCTTTAAACAACTGAAACACAGCCGCTTCTGCTTTGCCATTTTTAACCTTTCTACGGGTGACATAGCGATAAAGCGATTACAATCACTCAATTGATGCATGTTATGGCAGACAATACACTCATCCTTTCTCGTTGTGTCTTGAGACTTCACCACAAATGCCTTCCTTATATTCACTGGTTCCTTAGGTTCTACCTTAGAATGCAAAATGCTGGCGAATTTGCCCATCGCCTGGTTGACACTGTCCTTCACCAGTCTAAGAATATCATCAAACCTTGGCTCGATACCCTCCTCCTCTATACGAGAGCTTATTTTTACCCATTTCCTTTGCAGCCGAGTAGGTAGGCGTCTTGCAATTACCTCTAGGACTGAGCTCGAGTTGAGGTCACTCATGCAATTCATAGAAATCAAGGTATTCTTATAAGTCATAAGATTATCTAAAAACTCAGTAAGTGCCTTGGAGTCATCTTGAAGTTGACTGCCATTACCTTTGACAGCTTCGTATACGTTCCTTACAATCATCGAAGGTCTTCCAAACCTTTGACGTAATATGCTCATAGCCTCAGCGTATCCCTCATTAGGGGGCATGAGCTTACAGCACTGTATAGCTCTTGAAGCATCTCCAGTGCAATACCTCATCAAATACATCAATTTCAATTCATCACTTAATAAAAAACTACTCAACATGATCTCAAACTCCTTTACAAACTGTAAATAATCGGCCGGGTTTCCATCAAAACACCGTGGTTCAAACTTAGGGAGTTTGATGTTCCTATTATCCCTGAACGGCGAAACAGTAACATCAACCATGTCATGCTTAACATCAGACACATCGTTACAATTAACAGACAAGTCACCATGACTTACTTTCCTGTTTGCATCCAAGACACTCTGTCCCTTCTTTGACCCAGGCATTGTTGAACTTGACCCAATTCCAAAAAGTTCCAGATATTGCTTGTTCAAAGAGGACTTGACCGGCACCAGGAAAAATGAACGGCGACTATCCAAACTTTCACCAACTGTTTGAATTCACCAGAATCTGCTTCCATCGTCAGAAACTGTCAGCCACGTCTCATAAACCGTTAATGCCCAGCTCTTGCTACGCTCGGGCCCACGCTGTTCCTTGAAGTTTCTCAGAAACGCTTAGTTATAACGGACGAAAAACCAAAACACCGATTGGCCGCTTGAGAATTCTTTATTGTTACACCAACATATAAAAATACTAATTGAACTAAGGTCTGTGAACAAATATTACAATAATAAATCATAGTATTACTTCTGACGATGTTTCACTCTTCTTTCTGAACAGCGACCGATGAGACGATGACTGTCGTATTGATGCCTCCGCGAAAATTGGGGAAGTTGATTTTGAGCAAACAACCAAGAATTGATCGTTCAATCTACAACTCCATTGACACTGTCAGTGTAAGTGATCAGCATGTAGCCCACCTATCATCAGATGCTAGTGTTAAACCTTGGCTGATAGTAAAAGACACCAGTGGTGTTGGTCTTGCAGGTAGACAACTTTCTGAAAGCCGAGCAACAACAGCTTTTGATCCACCGCTAGCTTCATCAACTGATATCAATCAGTCGTCGTTGGTGCTGTCATCGACAATGAAACAGACACCCATCAACTCAAGTATCTTGTGCAATGACTATGATAGTATTGGCGCATTTGTAAGGGAAGTCAGCAAATGAACTCTGCGACGATTTTCCAACCTGGAGCGTCAACCTGAGAAGGGTTGTAGGCGTACTGCTGTAAGTCCTATAATTCTCCAAAGGGTAGCGCATCAATGAGCAGCCCAATGTGCTTGGTGTATGATCTTGTACATATGTTCATATTGTATATACTGAATTGATATCATCTGTCATCTAGCTGTTGGTAATTCTGTTTGTGTCCGGACGACTTCCACTTGTATCATCAACCTGAGAAGGAATGTAGGCGTACTGCTGTAAGTCCTACAGTTCTTCAAGGGTAGTTTGTCGTGCCAGAATCCACAACATTTGATGTGTTGATTGTACATATGTTTGTGTTAAATACTTGTGTGAGTTCCAATTATTGTAATTGTTGGTTAATCTTGTTTGTGTCCGGACATTCCACAACTTACAATCGTCAACCTGTGAAGGGTTGTAGGCGTACTGGTGTAAGTCCTGCGATTCTCCAAAGGAATTCCATCAAGACATGAACTGCGAGTTTTTGTGTACAGTTTGTATATACGTGTGGTGTGTCCTATCAATTGGTGTTTTTGGATTCATTGTGTTTTCTTGTTGTTTTCGTACCTTGTTTTTATTGCATAATTTTGTTCAAAATTTCGTCGTGATTACTTCTGAAGTTGTTTCAAGTCTTCTACATCCGTGAATGAATTGATTGATGTTAAGGACAGCAGATGGGTCGTATACGCCGGGGAGGCTAGGCTATTGCTGAGAATGAAATGAACACGGAGAAAATTGTTAGCTGTGGTCCCACACGCTGGGGAGAAAGAGTGTAAACGACTGAGGCTTGCGTACGTTATCGTTACTAGAATTTAGGTAGAATGGGTGAGAACCGATTTCAGTGGTAATTGGTAGTGAGTAGATAAGAGGATGAGCGTAGAGTATCGTGAGGTACTGCAATGGTCACGTTGTATTCTGCAAGAGTCATTCTAGCAAGTGGAGATTGTGTTGCAAGATGTCAAGTGGATGCCTTTAACTGTAAGGCTCAGGTCGTCATTGATGTGTGAGATTTTTCTGTGAGTATGCCTGTGGTGTGTTGGCTTTGCTGTTTGTTTTCCATTTCAGTTTTGTTTGTGTTGCCCAGGTTCTCGCAATGGCATCCAAGTCAACGTGTATTGGTCCTGATGGACAAAGGGATGGATCCCTTTTTTGCCGGGGAGTGTCAATGGAGTTGAAGATTGAACGATCAATTCTTGGTTGTTTGCTCAAAATCAATTTCCCAATTTTCGCGGAGGCATCAATACGACAGTCATCGTCTCATCGGTCGCTGTTCAGAAAGAAGAGTGAAACATCGTCAGAAGTAATACTATGATTTATTATTGTAATATTTGTTCACAGACCTTAGTTCAATTAGTATTTTTATATGTTGGTGTAACAATAAAGAATTCTCAAGCGGCCAATCGGTGTTTTGGTTTTTCGTCCGTTATAACTAAGCGTTTCTGAGAAACTTCAAGGAACAGCGTGGTCTCGAGCGTAGCAAGAGCTGGGTATTAACGGTTTACAATACGTGGCTGACAACAACCAAACTGTAAATTCACCACACATCAAACTATGTGTAATTGATATAATCACTAAACATTCCTGTAGCATCGGTATGTTTTCTGCATAAACAGGAATAACTAAATATTATTATGCTTCTATTTAATATCTCACCAAAGCCCCTCCATTTTACATTTACGCGGTCGCGAGTCAGGCGTCTGGTGCAAAACGAAGTTGAATTCTTATTTTCAGCAAAAACCGAACATGTAACAATGAGTTTAAAGGATAGTTATCATTACAGTTAAAGAGAATTCAGACATCTAAAATAAGACCCGATCATCTTATGCTTAATTCTACGGTACTGTTTGCGGACAATCACACATAGCCATAGCTCGCCTTACACGGTATTTTGAGTGCTCATTTATTCTTCCGAATGTCGCCTGAAGGGAAACAAATTCAACGAGAATATCACTCTTAGTTAAAAACGAAATATCAATTATCCGTGGTTTTTCATCCGCACAAGAATATGAGCCGAAGGAAATGTTTCCACGAAGACACAGTTTCGGCCCCTATTACTGATGCCCTTGAAAGAACATAGGGTCTCAAATAATAGGAAATCCATAGGTTTAGAGCAATTAATATTAACTCATTGGGTTTGAAGTGCAATGTAAGGGTTTACCGAGAGTTTCAGTGCAATCAGTTCTTCGTTATTAGTTTCATGTACCCTCATGACTGGCCACAAACTTGGTTTTCTAACTCATGTCGTCTCCATGTCACCAACGGTCGCTCGTCTATTACCATGCTGTTTCAACTTGGGGGCTGGCGTGTGATGTTAATCAGTGATCTTCTAAGCATTTGTCTGATTCTTCTCCACTTATGTCTCCATATTTGTTGTGTCTCAAGTTCTCCGCTGGTTAGCTACACTGTTAGAATTCCTTGTTGTGTCTCCTTTCCTACCGATCATTTAATATTCAACATGGAGCCAGTGACAGTAACTATTGATGAAAGTCTGCATTAGCCCATTGGAAACGCTTTTTCATCGTACCAGCCATGTTTCTGAACCACACAGAAGCAATTTATTGACATTAGGGTCAAATACATTTCGTTTCCCATGTGGGGTATGAGCTGTAGATCTCCACACTGATCTGAGAGTACTGAACACTAGTCTTGATATCCAAATCGAGACCTGGCTGGACATTACATCTTCTTCTATGCTGCCTGAAGTCAGGAGGATCAATGCTGTTTAGGTAGCACAAAGAGGTGACTTCGTTTAAATTTCATTTGCTGGCTGTTTTCTCTGTCTTCCCTACGACCACCCAAAGATGTGACTTCATGTGTTCTCCCTACTTGTCTGTTACCACCTGTAAATCTGAAAGTTTGTCAGCTGTCATCTATAAACTATTACCTTCTAGGCCATGTTCTGGTTCCAGCCTACACACTTCTTCTAACTCCTCTTGATCAACCTTATGCCTTTTTCTGTTACGATCAGGAAGACCATACTGTATAATGAGCTCAGTAGGATAAATGCAGGCTTAGTCCTGAAATCTGAGGTTAAGAGGTATGCTTTTAAATTAATTCAATAAAAACTGTGATAAGCTCTAAAGAAACAAAGTTCAAGTCTTATTCTTGGGTTCTTTGTTTTGTCGTTTCAACATTGGTACACAATAAACACGAAGGCTTTTAAACTCTCGTAAATATGTTGAAAAATATTTCCGGGAGAATATTTTCGCTGATATTGTTCTTCCTGAATGGTCTTTCCATGGTAACAGTAACTTAATTAATCAACGATATTCCTAGCTTTTTGGAATATCCATAATATCGCTTGGAGTCGTTTGTATTATTGATCATGGGAATATGTCGGAGGTCGTTGGTTCTTCTCTTTATACCTCTGGGGTGTACATTCTCATATTCCTGGGACTTATCATAATGACCATAGCACTATGTGGATATATTGCAGCCGACAAAGAAAATATTTGCCTAATAGTTTCTGTAAGAAAAATCATTGTGATAATATTTCAGTATATTTTCATCTTGTGTTTAGTGGCACTGCTTTTACTGATCGCAGGAATAATGGTCTTATCATTTCGAGATTCAGTGAGTTGCCTCATAAAGTGTCGCAAACAAAGCGAACCATAATTTAGCTTGGTGAATCAGCCAGAAGGGTAATGATAGATACATTGAGAAACAATTATGGAAGGCATGGAATAATAACTGATGCATGGAACTTGGTGCAAAGCAGACTTCACTGTTGCGGCGTTGACAACAATGGGTGGGGTGTGTATAATGGATCCTGGTGGGATATGATAACTAACCTGGACTTATACGAAACAAATACTAAGCTACCAGGTACCTAAAAATTTAATTCTAACAAATGAGTATTGTAGAATCGAGTTTGTTCTATCTGTTTGTACCTCATTCTTGTTGTGCAAAGAAGCTGGATGGATTGACGGGTTGGCCAACAGACGTTTATCGTGATACGAAGCGCTGCCAGACGTGGCAGTATGGACCTCCAAATAAGGCTTACGGGCCTCACAATGATGCCATTTATTATGCTGTAATTTATTTAGATGACAAATAGCCACTTATTTATAGGGATGTTTCGAGAGTTTGAAAAGTTACATTAACAACTATGCTAAAGCTATGGGTGCCTTAGCACTGTGTGCATTTATTGTCGTGGTAAGTATCTTTTCATTATCGTTGTGATAATATAAGAGAGGACCTATGAATTCTCCTTGTTTTAGATTATGCAGTTAATACTGTGTTTTTAGGCGAATATGCGGAGTCCTATAAACACCTTGAGCAAACGTCTAATTATCTTTGGCATGCTGTTGGTTCCTGCTGAAAAACTGGTTTGCACCGATCCCTAGTTTAAGTGTCAATGTTCAGACGGCTGAATGCGTTGACTAATTAACTTATATCGCAACCCCTCACGAGACGGTTGCTGTCGAAAATTCAGCACAGATAAAAAAGGCTCATTTGACATTTGATACTTTTGGGTCAGGCGTCGTATCTATCTACTGAAAAGCGAGCGTACTGTGCGGTGCTTCATTCCATCTTGTCTTGTAGGTGTAAAGTACGGCTTCTGGAGGCAGAGAATTTGAAAAGACTGGTGATTTTCGATTATGCGTGTCTTAATTAAGTCTCTAGTGTTATTTAGGGCTATGTGATAATTCCTAATGAGTCCCTGGTAAGGAAAGTCATACTCTGATATTATGAAATTCGGTATATTAAGCTGGCTAGTAAATGTACCACTCACTTTAAGACACATTCTTTCCCAACAAAATGCCGGTTGTATTATACCTAAGCTGGAAAAGATTTGTAAATGTTCAAATGCAAATATAGTGACAATCCTTGAAGTTTTTGAATATTGGTTTGACCCTGACTAGGGTTCTCGGAATACCACAAACCAATGGCTGAAAACTTTGGTGGCATGGCCAGGAATCGTTTGGCAACAAAACAGATAAATCCACTCATTTAGATCCATGAAATCCTCCTTAGAGTTAATTTAACTGCTTCCCTTTTTGTACAAGCCTATCCATTGTAATTTCGCCAGACTTCTTTTACTTTTATCTGTTTTTCGAGGTGAAATAACCTCGGCCTTTGTTTTTGCGTACAAAGTTCCACGTTGATAAGTCAACTAGCATTACAATTAATGTTTAATACTGTCTTACGCGGATAACTACACTACACTATTATACTAGTATATTTCATGGAGTTAAACTACGTGGCATCTTTATCAGTTACTGTGTCATCTAATAAGCTTGAAATAACTCGACTTCAGTTGTAGAAGGATCATACCTTTCCACAGAAATGATATGTCAGAAAATCCACTGAGACATCATATACTGTTTAACGCGAGACTAGTTATTCAATCACAACTTGCAACTCCAAGTAATTAGACAGTTTATTAGGTTATAGGTGACACAACTTTGAAGACGGGAGGACCATGTTACAATAAAATGAATTCCCGCATATGTGTATATATACAAGGATAAATCTAGAAGAATTATTTTAAAACATTATTAACCTCTAATATGTACTATTACTGTTTAAATAACACAATAAGATTATTTTACAGAAATCTTTACTTACTCTAGATCAAACACTCTTACTTCTAAAACTTGAACAATGGATTCTTACAGTTTAATACTGACTAAATATCGTGCTGTTTTAAACAGCTTTCAGTGAACTCGTTTCAAACTGAGAAGCTAAAAGTACACATTTAGTTCTCCTAGAATCACTATATGCACTCTACCCCAGAACCACACTAGGTCTAAATTCCAAATACTTACCCTTAATTTAAAGTAATTCAGTGCCTAGCAAACCACAAAAATTTAAATCGTATCTTTGGTAATATAGCTGTAAACAGAAATTATAATGTCAATGGTTCCCCTTCTAGACAAAATAAACATAAACAAGAAGCTGCATTACTTCACTTGTACTCGTAATCGCCATAATATGAAATGTAAAGAGATTTCCTTTGACCATTGCCAAGCCAATACATCACTACACGTTTGACTAATTGCTTCAAATGTAAAAGCAAGTCCTTATCAGAGTTATTACGCAAATTCGATAGCCGATATGGCTGTATTTTTCGGGAGACGGTATCATAGCTCGAGACGTTTCTGCCCATAACTTCACCAGTAGCGATGTGATTTTTAATATTTTTCTACAGAAATATTATGAAAAAGTGATGCACGAAGAAATCCTTCACTAGTGTATTTTGAGATGTTTTTTTATAGTAACGACACACCAAGAAATTTTAACCCTGTCGGCACTAAGTTTCAATAGGGAGGGCATTTTTTTGGTTTACATTATTTTTGTTGATAACGCGTCGCTGACATGTCTTATAACCATTAAATTCAAATATTCTTTATGAAATTTTCTGGAAACCAGGTAAGCGCTCTGATCTGTGCAGTTTTTCTGTTCCGTGAAGCTAAATTCAAAGCTCGAAGGAAGGAAAGAATGATCAACCGAGGTAATCCAACGTTATAGGCCTTACAAACTATACAAAATATACAGTGGTTTGAATGTTTACTTTATATAGTCTCGTGTAATGTTTTCTAAAAACTACAGAGCGTTTTTTAAATATACATATTTTTTAGTTAAAAACTTTTTTTATTGAAGTTACAACCGTTTAGATATAGCCCACTGTGTCACCATATCTTTACATAAGTCCATTATGGTAGAACGAACAGTCTTATTGGAACAGATAAGTAACGATATAAAATGATGTATATTAGTTCACTAGACCATGAACTACAAGTTCGTAAGGGATTAGGCTGCTACCTGGGTTTCAAGATTAAAAGAGAAGGAAACTTGAAAATGTAATCTGATGAACCATATCTCCATTATTTTTTACCTACTAAATCAATCTGTTCGAGAAGTTCAAACGCTCTTAGTTTGATGTTTTATGGCATGAAAAATATCTCAACAAAAGAGTTGCAAATTATTGTATTTACTGTGCACAGAAAAACAACATCAATCAGATTAAATATCTATTTACATATTTATACAGTGGTGATAAATTACTTTGATCTTTTACCAAATCCCCCAAACCCCATTACAGCCGCGACATCAGTATCTTCGAACAATTCTTCATTTTTACGCTTTTTTTCTTTTCGTTTTTCTTGTTTATAGGCCTTAAATTTTTCTTCTTCCTCAGCGATCTGACGCATTCTTTCATCCAAACTATATTCCTCAGCTTTCTCTTCAGATTTTTGTTTATGAAGTTGGAATCTGCAATGAAGTAAGGAAAAGTAACATAAAATACCTTTCTCTAACTTCGTCCAATGTAGATCTCTTAATCCTCATAGACATTCCCATATTTCTCTGATGCTTTTTGCCATTTATATGATCCAAATAGTTGATAGAATCTTTCACAACGCAATCACAAACTTCACAGTAGTAGCCGGCTTGCGAAGAACCTGGACCAGTTTTCGCTATCACTTGTGATTTATTCAAGTTAGATTCTAAGTCGATCTTTAGAAAATCAACTAAAATATAAAATGGATAGCTTACTGTATAGTCACGGGCTCGTAAATATTCCTTCTTAATTGTTTCTTTCTCCTTGCGAGCATTTCGCATAGCCTCTAACTCATTGCTCAGTCTATCACTGGCTAATTTTTCAAAATGAGCTTTATCCCATTTTCTTCTGTGATCAACAGGATTCTACAAACAATAGATTGAATCATATGACACTTACTGTGCCAGCCATCTGAAAATAAGAAAAATAGCCTGAGAAAAATCCGTCCAGAATATATAAAGCAAGCCAAAACAAACATATGAACCAAAAGCAATGTAAATTTTAAAAAAGTGATGCAAAATCACTTGTTCTTGTAATATGCGATTCCCACTATTAAACAGAAATTAGACGAAGATACGTGTTGGCGAAATTGCCCATTGAAGGGAAATTAGTTTGCAAATTATGTTCAACTGAAAACAAAGCGCTCAGTTCTAAGTTTGTTATGACCAGCAAAATCATAATAAAAATTACTCGAATCAGTGAAGAGATACTACGGTTAGAGTTTTTAAAGTTGGTCACCATGACAGTGAGTAATCTCATGTAAGTGTGTCCATTAGATATATCACACAGTGAAACAGTAGTGTTCGCTGGATAACATTTCGAACACAATTCACTGTCCGTAAACACATCAGCTGTGTATGCACTCTAAGTATATCTGTACCACTGTCATTGTTTTTGAACCACATTTTCCACTTACCAACGTATGATTTCTATTGTATCCTGGACCCTAAGCAACTTGTCTACATACCTCACAAAGAACAGTGAACTGATATCAAGTTTTACGGAATCCAAGACACACAATTCGTCCAATTTGAGACTCATCATCCCAATATTCCTGCAGTTTCCAGTAGGGAATGGTGTTCCTACAGGGAATTGAACCCAGCAAGCCTCGTTTTAAAAATCAAAACGTTATTCACTAGGCCACTCGAACTTTTGTTACATTAATTTAACATCTGTTCACCTGAGTGCACTTACATACAATAGACTAAATCTGCGTAGAAATGCCACAATTTAGAAAGTTCTGTTAACTTGCACACTGACTTAAGCCTTTGTGAAGAGCTTCACACCTAACCTGTAAAGATAAGGAATTACTGCATACAAAATAGGAATATCTTCTTTCTTAAGATGTCTTTTTTACCGGTACACCTATTAGCCTGATTGCATACGGAAGTTTGAGCTTTATAGATAGGCGTAAGTGTTTATTTTATGGATGAAATGAAAGCAGTAAAAGGATTTAAATCAGATGTTAATGTGTGATGATTTTATGTTGGTCTTTACACAAACAGTTGACCCAGTAACTAATAAATGAGTTCCAGCAAACAGCAGTTAGTACTACCTTAATAACTGTAACTCTAAGCATATTCAGATTACCACCAAAACCCACCAAATTATTCTTTCTTGTGTTTTAGAGACGGATATGTTGCTTTAGAAGTAACACCCACAATCACTGAAATCCCCTAATATGTTTGATAAACTCCAGATATACACATAACAGGATAGTTGGCTTTGTGGTTTTAGAAAACTAGAGTTCATTTTTCACTTCTAAAGGGTACTAGTGATAGTATTGCGAGAAAAATAAAAATATGTAAAATACTAAAGACCAAAACACTGAAAGATAAACAAGGATGGTCAATACAATGAGTGTAATGCAATAAGACATGGAGGCTTACCAAATGAAGTACCAGTAAGAAGGTGTTTGATGGCGAAATCAAGAAATGAATTCCCAGTGTTAGTTTAAACGACATTACCACAGAAAATGGAGTTGTAATTTTACGCTAACTATACACTTTTAAGGATTAGGCATCGCACTTATGTTTCATAAAAAATGAAGTGTGATTAAGTGGTAGTTTCTACTAAATGAAGTTAATTGTTTTAACCTCGTATTGATCTGAAAGATATCTGGTGGCGTTGAAAACAAATATGTTGCTTAGTACAATGCACTCTTTACAAAAGATATCTGCACCGGAAGTGACGATACTATGGGTTTACTGACTGCTGTGAATTTAGTTGATAAATAATATCAGTGTGTGTGACTACAAGGTTATTTAACGATATCAGCTTGCCTGTATACGACGGCTAGACACCTGTTTAATATATCAAATGTGCCTGGAAGAATAAAGATACTGGTAATTTGTGTGAATGGGGAAATCACATCTGTTAATCACCAAGCTTAAAAATACATTATTTGGATAGTTAAATATTACCTATGTTCAAGTAATGGTTTGTAGGGATTTAACTGATTTCATCATGAGCCCGCCTTGTAACCAGAAAGTCCCGAGTTCGAACCCCAGTGTGGATGGGTACTGTTGAAGAGTCCCAAACTAGGACGAAACAGCTGTTCAGTACTCCTAGGTTTCCCAATGTTTCTCTAACTGACGTCAGCTCATGATGAAATCCTGTAACTAAAAATTGTCTACTCAAGTGGTGGTGTCTAGCTAGATATATATAGTGTTGACAAAAGGCACATCCAATGTACATCAATTGTGTTTAACGTCAACTTCAAAATCCAAAGCAAAATACATAAACCAATAGGAGTAGAAATGGGATCACCAATATGCCAGTCGCAGCAGCAGACATCTGTATGGATAGTTGGGAAAATATGGCTCTTAAAACTTTTAATCTTACCTTAAAGTTATGGTGGAGGTGCATGGATGACACTTTATATATCGTATTTAGTTTCTTCACACAAACTCGATAGTAGGGGAAATCTGTTTTACATTTGAGTTACAATTTAAACAAGGGAAATTAGCTGTCATGTTGTACAATAGATCAGGCGTAGAATGCTGGGTAAGGGAGGGGAGTCAATTAATGAGGTTGTGAAGTCACACCAATTTAGATGACTAGAACATGTTTTACACATGATGAGGAACCACCTTCGTCGACAAGCTGACATGGGATTAGGTTGAAAAAGAGTTAGGGATGGTCAAACCAAATCATGGCATAAATGTATGTAATCTTTGACTCTAAGCTTCAGCTAGCTACGTATGGAGGTGCACACTGCCTAGATATGTCTCTCAGGATTCTACGAACTAGCGCCTAGAGACTGTTAGTAACATGACTCGAAACCATTTCCAGTGGCGAAGGTGTATTCACTCTTTGTGTTCTTCCACAACAATTAACTCTTAATGTCTTTCCATGGTACTATTTCTCATGTATATTTCAGCTTACTATAATTCCTTTGAATTTCTGTTTTACATTTCTTTACCTTTGTGTGCTACATAGATTGTGGTAGCTTCACTGTTGCACTTCTGTGCACAGCTCTATGTTAAAACTCAGTTAAGTTTTAAAATAGAGCAAACAGGAGATAAATTATTCGCTAGTATTTAATCGAATCTGTTATCGGTAACGTCAGGCTTAGTTAGGTGTCTAGTGAACCGGGTAAAAACTGACCAGTTCATTAGAAAACCTATATTATGAAAATAAGAATGACAAAGGATCATCAGTGTTAAATAACTATCCTACAAAAGTCATTTGGAGGTCCAAGGGAGCTAATTATAAAACAAAAAATAGAAGTGACATTATTAATCACAAAATAAATGAGAAATTTAAGGCACCTAAAGTCCTATCATATAAGGAAGTTACAGTTGAAACTCTACGTAGGATTCTTAACAAAGAGGGAATTAAGGTGACTGTTAAATCTACAAACTTACTCAACGACAAGTTTTGTATGCTAAGGGATTCTACTAAACTAATTACACGAGATAATTTAATGTGAGAAATACTTTATGATGAATGTGACGTTAACTTCACAGCTCAAACGAGTATATCTGGGTTCTTCAGGTGTAGATCAATCCTAGGAAGGTGAATAATGTGGACAGAAACTCGATAGCTGCAATGCATGCAACAGCACACGACGGCGTTGGACGGAGTTACAGTTCTAAAACCTAATATAAGTAATTGGAGGGTGAGGTTGATCACTGGATCTTTGTTTATTGTGCATACATCTAATACGTGCAGTAGAAGTGACGCAACACCGATACCAAAGATAAGAGTATTATTGCCAACAAAATGAAAAGATAAGCAATGATGGGATTTTATAGACAAAGTTTGAGAATAGTGTGAATGTCTTGATATGATTATGAGCAGTAAATTGTGCTCGAAACGTTATCAATAAATAGTACTGTATCATTGTATACTTTTATCAAGTAAAATGATGGAATAACACTGTACCACAGTAACTAAATTCTATTCTTACATCAGCGGCCAGCGCGGAGTTTGGATAGAAATCTTTGTTGTCTGTCCACAACTATCCGCCAACAGTACGACTTCGCCCTGGTATCCAACATAACGTAAGCTAATTAGACTACATAAAACCAACAGATTTTAGTATAACCGATAGCTAATAAGAGTTGGACTAAATCAAATCTATCAGTCGCATCTTTACATTTGTCTGTCTGTCTGTTTTCGACATAGAACTTTGCACAAATGTGCGGAAGTTCAAGTCGCCACATTCCGTGTAGCACGCGAAGCAAGAGAAGAAAGTACAAGAAAAGCAAATAGAAACAGTGAGCAGAGGTGTGAGACAAAGGAGTAATAAAGAAATACAAAACAGTTTCATTGGAGATCATAAGTCACAGGGAGTGGATGCATCTGCGCCACTGAGAACGATTTTGAGCCATGTCACCAATTGTTTCCAACCATAGATTTTTGCCGTCCCGAGGACCCCAGCCTGGAAGTCTACACCTTCCTACGTGGCTAAGACCAACTGTTGTGGATTTCATTGACTGATGCCAAGTTTTTGTTTGACCGCCGCTAGCTTTTTTCCAGCCTGACCCTATATCCGCTAACATTGCTCGTCGAGGGAGGCGATGGCTTGGCATACGTAACACATGTCCTAACCATCTCAGTCGATGTAGCTTCACGACTTCGTCGATTGATTTCCCCTGCTTACCTAGGACTCTACGCCTAACCTCCATGTTGCTCACCTTATTATGCCACTTTACACGGGATATAGAACGCAGGCACCTATGATCAAAGACAGCTAGTCTTTTCATGTCTTCCACTCTGAGTGGCCAGGTCTCACAACCATAAAGGAGGACGGAGCGGACTGATGAGCAGTACACCCGCCCTTTGGTCGATAGTCGAACATCTCGTCTACGCCAGAGTCGGCGTAAACTAACAAATGCGAAACGAGCCCCTTGTATTCGTGCTGAGATTTCGTCAGAGATCAGCCCGTTGGGGCTGATGGTACTTCCCAAATAAGTGAAGCGGTCAACGTGCTCTACCACTTCACTTCCTATTTCTAAACTAGGAGCCAGCGTAGTCCAGTCCTGTAACATCATCTTGCATTTGGCGGGAGCGAATCGCATGCCAAACATTCGTAGATTGCTGTTCAAGGTGTTTAGAAGACTCTGCATTTCGTCAGCGTCTTCGCCTAGAAGGACTATATCGTCTGCATATTCCAAGTCAACGAGATTATTCCCAGGTAGCAAGTCAATCCCTGAATCGCTGAAGTCACCTAGGGTTAAGTCCATTAACACATCTATGATGAAGTTGAATAGAAAAGGAGATAATGGGCATCCTTGACGGACACCACTGGTCGTCACCAGTTCAGATGACAGCTCGCCGTAAGCCCTCACCTGGCTGTATGAGTACGAATAGAGTGCCTTAATCAGTGCAATATATTTTCTCGGAATTCCCTTGACAGCCAAGCATCTCCAGAGAACTTCCCGATCGACAGAGTCGAATGCTGCCTTTAGGTCAAGAAATATAATGACTGTTGGACGCCGGTAGGAATGCCTATGTTCTAGAATCTGTCGGAGGGTGAAGATATGATCAATACACCCTCTTCCTGGTCTAAAGCCTGCCTGGCTTAATTTTACTGAATACAATCTGTTTTGACACATTGCCTTTAAAGTATATATCCAAATAAAATGGACATTAGCGGGTGAATTACTATAAGACCAGAAATATTATCCATATTAGTTTCAACGGTGTAAGACAATTTTTGTAATTCTTATAAATTAGGTACAAACACTACATAGTCATATACAATTGGTGGATGGTGGCTAGCAGTGGAATCCAGGATGCGCATTTCGTCCTATTTGGGACTCGTCATCTGGATGTACCTGCATTTCTTAGTGAGTGATGATGTTCCCACCGAGGCTCGAACCCAGTACCCATAGTTTCAAACGCTAAAGTGTTATCCACTAGACCACTTGGGCCACGAAAGCCACCTGTTGTACAACGCGTCATATTAATTATTGAATTTTTGATTTTCCCGTCGAGACCGAGCACTTCAGTCCAATCAATCGACGGGAAAATCAAAAATTCAATTCACTACATAGTCATCCTTAGAAATTTTCCAACGTAGAAAGTCTTTAAAAAAAGTGCAGTAGACCAAGCTGCTACACTCCAAAAAAGAGAAAAAAGTATGTATAATTCAACTACAACAAAAATATTCAGACAATTTTTGGTGATCACTTTCAATCTGATGGCATTCCGTGAACTGTAAACGATAATTGGCCATATTACCAAGAGTCACTAACCAATAGTTAGCATTAGGGCTTAATCAAGGCTGCAATTATTTTGCAAATGTTAAACACTAAGCGAAATTGACTTAGGAAGGTTACGCTGTAGGTACGTGAGTCTCAAATTCTGTCACTACACATAGCAAACATGCTACACTAGTAGGCTTTATGAACAGTTAAATTTAACTGCTACAGTTAACTGTAGCAGTCCTCAGTTATACCGATGAAGATTAGTGATTAGAATAAAGTAACGTCACGAATTAATAGATAGGAAATCGACCCATCAGAAAGCTTACTAAAAGTCAACGCATATAAGGGTACATATAGAATGATAATTATCATTTTAATAATTCTATAAAATTCACATATTAAAAAAACCTAATTATAATTAGGTTCAAATGAGATTTCACGTCCACATTTATTGGTTGAGAATAGAAGGCTTGGAGCCTATGTTATTCCTTTTCTAGTAGATTTCTGTGGTTGTCCAAAACCTTCTTCAACGAATCAGTTGAGGTTGAATCTCATTCATACACAGCTCAGATCAAAAATTCCTCAATTTCATCTACGGAATCTTCCCATTTTTACTGCTAGTTTATTAAAACATGCAAAACAGAGAACTAAGGCAGTACTGTGTATCGAAAGATGAAGACTAAGACAAAATTACTACACTGGCTGACCTTGTATTGAATTTTCCGCCAACAACAATTTTTAGACAACAAATAAGAAGACGTAATTTGTCTGAAATGTGTTTCAAATAAACTACGTCTTCTTATTGTGTTGTCAAAATTCATAAAGGGAACTAATTGCTTTAAACAAATTTTAGTTTTACTATTGCATCATGTTTAAGAACATGTGAGAGACTCTGGATTTTAGATTAATTTAAAAGTGATATTTTCCTTTCTAAATAGTTAATTTCAGGGTTAAGGTAGAAAGTTGCAATAAAGATCATCCCATAAAAGTATGTTTGGCTCAAGACCATCGAATGACGTCGCTCTCCTGGACCTCCAGTGGGACCTGAGTGTGAAATGACTAGTTGGGCGTGTATCCGAGAGTAGCATGGAGGAGATCGAGCGAGAAGAAGATGATAGTCTATCGGCAATCATTGACCCAGCTTAGGAGGGACGCGGAGAATAGGGGACGTGTTGTTATAGCCCTATGTTCCATACGGAACACAAGATAACGATAATAATATATACTTAGTTCAGTATTCATATTGGCTAGACAAAGGTTGACACATAACATTAATCCAGATGCGTAGGGAAAATTAAATACCAGTGCCCACTCCGTCTGTCGAATTTCAGTTCCGCATTTCAGGAGTGGAGTTAGGTTTTAGGATAACAGTCACATAGCCAGTCGTCTCAGATTCTGGTTCGTATTCACATCTTTTATTTGTGACAGAGGTTCCCACCCAGCAGTAATCCCTCTCTCTTGCTTTCTCGGTCGAGTCAGCTGGAGGTTCTTACATGAGTCTGTTCCTGTGGATAGCTAATCACTTGGAAAACCAGTATTACACACTAATATAGTATAACAATGGTCCTTCAAACTTTCCTCTACGTCCACAGAGATGTTCTTACATGAAGCCGGATGAAAAAGACGACGAATTATGCACAAGGTCACTCCTAAATATTCTGAACGTCGTACTCAGATTTCCTTTTCGTCAAATAGCAAAGAGTTCATCGTGTTTTGTCGTCCGATGGATGGCAAATTAATCATATATGTCCGTTTTTTGAACTTTGAAGTATGTAAAAGTAAAGCCAAGGAAGGAAGAAGGATGTTTTAGTGAGATTTTCCAACTTTACCTAACCATTCTGTCAACGGTGAACATTGAGTGGATGTTCAATGGACTTGTTCATTCGAAACAGTTTCTTATTATTCGGAGGCTACAGTCCATGTCATGTACTATACGTTTGCTCGCTGACAGGAGACCGGAGCAATGCTATCAGAAGTATTAATGCATATTATACTGACGTTATTTATGGACTGTTTTGGCGTAACTGTGAAACACACGGTCAAGCTATTGTGTATTGGCTTATACTTGGTTGATCAATAAATTGACTTACCGTCCGTCTTTTAATACCTCATGCGCTGGGTTGGTTATTATGTACGTAAAACAGTGTTTCGAATTCCGATGTTTTGTTTTCTGGCTACATCAAATCCTCCTGATACCGTTATTGACACATGTATATATATGAATACAACATTCTGGTAAAAAGAAAATTGTTGAGTCTAAATAACTCTACGTATACGCAATAAATAGTAGAGAGTAATAAGTCACTGTATGCAGCAATATGTGCCGCCGTTCGGGCAGAATTTTCGGAAGTTTTTCCCAATGTGTCTATATCGATAAGGACCTTTTCGATGCAAACGAATAGATCTATGTGGTTCCAAAGTTCTTCTTTTTCATCAGCGATATGATTCGAGGCAATTTAACAAAATCTTTGTTAAAACTTTCACAGGCCACACCCAAGGGGTCTTGTCTTTAGAATTAGCCCCCCTCCATTATATAGCAAGATTTTTTAGACACCATAAGTTATCCCGAAGATCATTTTTTTTATTATTGGTAACAGCTTGATTCCACACTGTATTTTTGGTACAAGTATGGAATTTTCAGCGTGGATATCGGTAGCCCAAATTTCGCAGGCCGACCATAGATATCTGGTGTGCGCCGGTGTGGGCTCGAACCCCGGACCATCTGCATGGTCGTCGAGAGTCCTAACCATTGTGCCACCGACGCATGCTTTACGGAGAATAACTAAATATTACTTTCCAGATAAATCATGAGAAAATGCCTGATTCACCTTAGCAGATGTTGACTGGGGTGTAACTAGGGAAAAATGTCGGTTGTTCGAAGCAAGTGTGGGTGTTTGGAGTTTCAACGCCACACATGGCGTGCTGTGAACTCTGGGCAGAAAGCAAATCAGTATTGCGGAAGGACGAAACGAGTAATCAAAAAGGGACCATAAATCCATACGTGTAGAAGTGCGATGACAAACGTTAGAATTTTACCCAATAGAATTTTTCGTTTTTGTGTAAGTTAGACAACTTTTTATTTATTTTGGGATGTTGTGTGTTATTTGTCCGAATTCTAAATTTTTAATGGCTGGTTGTTCTGTTCAGCCACTACCGGGATTCCTTCGCGTTCCCAGCGAAATATTGGGCTTCAAGCTAGAGCTTTGAAGTTTCAATAGCGATGTTGTTTATGTTTACGAGATGGAGTCGCTACCCTCATGCCCAACCTATCCTCTCTACCGCTAGTATTACCAACCTAGCAAGTAAACTAGTGCGCCAGGCGGGAAACAAGCCCTGCAACACCTGAGTTGTTGGCCAGCATTTTACCGCTAAGCCACCGATACTGTTCAACTATTACGTTTGTTATATTTGGTGGCATGACAATCATAAAATTGGAAACCGATTTTTAGTATCTTCGACAGTTTGGTATTTGATGTGACTTCTCAGTAATTTAGCCGTGTGGTTTGGCTGTGCTCTCGAAGTCTGTAGGGCAGCGTTTTCGTCTCTGGCTGTCAGCTAAAATGCGTTTATATGATTCGCATAGTTTCCTCTCCCTTTCGAAAGGTATCTAGCGGTGGAAAGCCTTCAGTGTTTTTGACTAGGCTTCCACGCTTCATCTGACCCCAGAGTGCTTACTAAATACTTTCTCGACTGAGACTGTTATCTTTTGCTCTATATGCACTTTTGGATAGTGGGTTTGAAACTTTTTCGATACAGAAGAGGATTTTTTGAAAATATGCATGCCATCGCATTCTTCCATCCTGGATTCTTACGATTAGAAACAGGCTGTTTCGTGTTGGTGGTGGTGGCTAGATTTCCCTGCAGTGAAAACTCCTGGGTAGCAGTCAATAAGAAGCGAAGTTGCGAGATTTTTTGTCTTACTTCGCATTACTTAGATTTCGAAACAAAAAACACTTCAGATAATGTGCTTCTGCTTCAAACATTCCACATTACTTTATTTTTTGGTGTGATATCCAGTAACCACTATTTGCTACTAGAAGCCATGTTTGTGGCGTTCCTGCGACAGGTTAAGATAAGTCATCGCTGGTTGACCGGACACTACGTAAGCCACGCAACCTTTAACAATGTAATATCTAGTTGCAGCAAACAGATAACTGATGGCGGAATCCTTCATTTGGAAAAGTTATTGGTCTGGTAATACACCACCGCTGGTGAAAACCTTTACAAAGATGTTCCTTTCAAAGCTTAGAGCTTGGAGAAACATGGGGCGTACGGTTGGCATCAATACAAAACTGCTGGATGAACGCCTTTTTATGAGTTGTTTCCAAGCAGCCAGTCCTGGAACACTATGTTCTGAAAACAAATTGTAGTCCGGAGAATATCATCCTGCTGTGGAGATAAAGCTGCTGAAACATCTGGTCCTCTACAAATTGGCTTCATCGAAGTGACTTAAATAAAATGTTATGCTACATTGCTCCCTAAATTCACGAAACAGAAATGGTATCAAAAGAGCAAGCTGACACTTTAGTGCAAAATACTTCGCAAAAAGAAAAAATGTGAGAGAACAGTGGTGAAAAATGTGTCTATGAGAATTCGTTTGCAACCTAAATGCTAGTGATCACAACAAATGTGAAAGGTAAATAATGGAATATATTACAACTACAAAACGTTTTGACCCTGCCAGTTTGTACTCTAGCAGTGACCTGGAGAGGGAGGCAGGTGATAGCTGCTGGTCATTCACTGGTTTTTGTAGAGCTATTGTTGCATCTAAAGAAATCGACATGCAATTACAATTGCTTATCCCACAACAACTCGTGTGTCAAGTAGCATTTCTGCCGGAGTGAATGGCGATTTTCGGAGCTTGCAACGACTTGAATTATTTACCAGCAACTGTGGCTACTGCACCATTTTGTTGAAAGAGACAAGCGAAGGCTGGATAATCATTCAGTAATACAAAGATTGTGTCGATATGGATTATCCTCTTGAAACTCACAAATGGCATTAATTTAATGGGCATCACCTAAACTCGTCCCTTGTCACTGCACATTCTCCCATGTCATATTCTTCCAAGTACTCCATCTATTTACTCGTTTACTTCTTGATCATTTGCCTTTTCAGTCTACATTGTCTATACTGACTGTGCCTATTACTTTCATCATTATTACTGTCTCTTTTTTGGACCACAGCGGACGACTAACGTTAGGGGAATAGTTCACTGCATTTACAGCAGCAGCGCGGTCTCAACATACCAAATACTGCAAAACTTATATAATAAATCTCCACACTACTCCCCTCGGAGTTCGTCTAAACTCTGGCAGGAAAGACTGCCCAAGAGTGTACAGAAGATCAGGAACTCTTACCTCAAGACCAGGAAGCTAGCCCAGTTGGACAAATTCGGTGGTGTGAACTTTGGAAAGGGAGTGAATTTTATGCGCCCTTGTTTAGTATTGGCTTTTGTTTTGTTATACGCTCCAAAAGTCTACAGATTAACTTCAGATCAGTTTGTTCTGATCGAAGTTAGTTTACGTTTCAGATTTGAGTCTATTAAAATGTAGGAAGTTGTGTTCTTATAACTTAATAGTTATATATATATATCTATTTTTGTGCACTCATAGGCTTTTTATCACTGATTTATAAAGGTTGTTTGTATTTATTTTTTATCTTTTTATTTTTGATTACAGCTTGATTCCACACTGTATTTTTGGTGCAAATATGGAATTTTCAGCATGGATATCGGTAGCCCGAATTTTGCAGGCCGACCATAGATATCAGGTGTGCGTCGGCAGGGGATCGAACCTAAGACCATGTGCATGGTCGGCGAGAGTCCTAACCACTGTGCCACCGACGGCACAAGTCATATTTAATTTTTTCCCTGATTCGTTTTAAATAACATGCCTATCAAAAGAAACCGCTGCGGAAGGGTTATGTGCCAGTTTCCAGTGGATGAGGGAATACAGTGTGATAACTGTAAGGGATGGTTTCACAGTATGTGCACGAACCTTACTCCAGCAGCATACAAACGCTGCTGCAAACCTCTAGCAAACTGGTTGTGCAATGACTGCTGTAGTACAACTAAACTCCGTATTACAGAAGCCATTGCTACTCTCAGTGGGGCTTTAAAGCTCATGGACTGCAAGCGTCCTCCACCACAGAAGAATACCGAATATTGCTCGGATAACGATGACGTGACTAGCGTCATCGACAAAACAGCACATGTCCCCGGTGCGTCCTTGCCAATAAGTGAGTCCCCTTCAGCACCGGAGAACACCCACCACATTACAGACACCCAGGATTTCCCTACGATACTGGATAAGCCCTCCAGTGACAGTAATGGAAAGACTGCTGCGAAGAAGAGGCGTACCAGGGGTCGAAAGCCTGCAGTTCGAGTCACTCAGGGACTTGTGGATCAAGCCTCATCCACACCGGTAAGTGGCAGACAGACAAATCCTGGTACGATTAGCGAGGAGGACGCCAATGAATGGCGTAATGTAGTTTCTCGCAAAAAGCGAGATAAGGAAAATACATTGGCTACACCGTCCACGAAGGACAGAAATATACTTACGCCGCAGAGCGAGAAAGCCACGGCAAGCAAACCTGATCTCTCCGACAGGTCTCTCATTCTCCACAAAGTGCAAGAGTCACTGGCCCCCGATCCCAATGCCAGATTCGAGCATGACCCTAACTTGGTTAGGCATCTTTTAGACAAGCTACTGCCACAAACAGTATCAGGCATTACTATGCACAGCTTATATAGAATAGGCCAAAGGCCTGACCCTACAATAAGTCAGACTGTACGTCTCCTCAAAGTCGTACTAAACTCCAAAGAAGAGAGGGCTGCTATTCTAAGCAACTCTCAAACTCTTAAAGGATCAAGGATATTTGTCCGCACCAACTTAAGCCTAGCAGACCGTATCAAAAGACAAGCTGCGTCCCTAGAATTAAGTGAGCGACGCCGGAACGGCGAGAACAACCTTAAGATTAAATGTTTTCCGGTTGTCCGAGTTCGCAGTTTAATGATCCCGAAACCTCTGTGGGTAGGCCGGGATAGCACCAATCTGAATTAACAGTCTGCTACACAAACGCCCGCAGCCTGTTAAATAAAGGGACTGAGCTGGTTAACATGATAGACTCCGGAAAGCCGGATGTAGTTATTATCACAGAGACATTGCTCACACCCGATGTCACTGACAACGAAGTTAACCTGCCAAACTTCGAAGTGCATAGGGTGGACCGACTAAACCACAAAGGAGGTGGCGTAGTCATCTGCCTCAAGAAATGCTTAACCGTGCGTAGTGTCGAGGCACTCGCTCACGAAAGTGAGTCGTGCGAACTTCTACGCTGCAGACTTAAATGCATAGGCCAAGACATTGACCTTATTGCTGTGTACCGCAGTTCCGACTGCAGTGCATATGGCTTCCTAATAGAGAAGCTAGGCTCCTGGACTTCGAAATGTCGAAGTCTCGTAGTTGGCGACTTCAACACCCCAACAGTTGACTGGACGAGCCTTACAACTCCATCTTCAGTCAACTCCTTTATTCATAAACTGCTGGAATCTAGTATATCGCTAGCTCTAGCCCAACATATCATTAAGCCCACACACTATGACTCACAGCAGTCCTCCTCATCTCTGGACCTAGTGTTCTCCCTCGGTGAGGATGTGAATCTCATACAACATCTTCCTCCGTTAAGAAGTGACCATGCTGTACTCACTTTCAAGATCACAGCAACGGCAGCAAGGGGCAAAACCCCAGCTCGACCAAACGTTTGGAAAGCTGATATAAATGCGATCGTCTCAGCAGCCAACTCAGTAAACTGGTACATCAACCCAGAGTCCCAAGTAAAAGCCGCATGGAACCAATTTAAACAACTTTACGCCCAGGTAAATGAACCTTTCATCCCTTGGTCTGTCCCAAAGGGTCGGAAACATTGCCCCCCCTGGATAAACCGAGAGATTCGTAAGTCACTCAGGCGTAAACACAAATTTTGGAACCTGCTTGCCACACTTGAGACTTCTGAGACCAGGAAATTATAAAACACTGCTAGAAATAAAGCTATTGCAGAAATCCACCAATCAAGGGTGAAGTTCGAGGCCCACCTAACTCGAAACGGAAGCGCACAATCTAAGCAAATTTTCTCATGCATGAATTTCAGGAATAAAACATCTGATGGTGTCCCAAACCTGATTATTGACAATGACATAATCGAAGAAGATCAAGAAAAAGCAGAAGCAATGGCAAACTATTTCATTCAAGTCTTCACTCAGGATTCATCACTGCCTACAGGACCAGCTTTGACTGCATCGGAGAAATACGGGGTGGATTCCGTTGACATCGACCAAGGCATCGTGCTTAACTGCCCAATGAAACTAGATGCAGGGAAATCAATGGGTACTGATAATCTTCATCCAAGGCCTCTCAAGGAGCCATCAGTTCACATAGCCGACCCTCTGATCATGATCTTCAAGCTATCTCTCCTAAATGGAGTGTTACCGCGTGATTGGAAAGACCCCATAGTAACTCCAACTCACAAAGGAGGATCAAGACAAAGTCCTTCAAATTACAGGCCTATCAGTCTCACCAGCAATTTAATCAAGACACTGGAAAGAATCATTTAGAGGAGCATCATGGCATATCTGGAAAACAGCAGCTTGTTATCCAGAGCACAGCATGGCTTCCGAAGGAACCTCTCATGCCTGTCAAATCTCCCCGGTGCAAGAGAAAGCTGGGTCAAATCAAAGGACAACAGAAGACCCGTTGATGTCGTCTTCATAGACTTCAGTAAAGCCTTTGATAAAGTACCTCACAAAAGACTACTCATGAAATTGGAAAGTCTTGGTATCAAAGGAAGATTACTAAACTGGCTCAGGGAATCCCTCACAGATAGGAGGCAGAGGGTTGGGATCAACTCGAAACTCTCCTCTTGGACAGCAGTAAGTAGTGGAGTGCCTCAAGGCACGGTACTTGGACCTCTCCTATTTATTTTG